TATATATATATATATATATATATAATCAGTGGATCAAAAAGAGAAATTTGGTAATATTGGAAATAGTTTTTTATATGTCATATGAAAATAAAGATATTCGCAAGCTGAGTTTATAATTATGATCGCGCGCACTCACACACAGATCTAAAAGAAGAAACAATAATATGATTGTGTACGATCAAAATCGGGCTTGCCTTTTTTGTATAACTAATCGAGACTGGAACGTGGCAGGCCAAGGTTCGACCCCATGTTATATCGGAACCATGATGTAAAGATTACCGATCTCATGAACTAGAGATCGATCGACATAGGCGGATCTAGGATTTTAATGACATGGGTGCACCACTAAAAAAAGAGAAAAAAAGAAGTATCAAGTAGGATTTGATCCCTTATCCTCTAGATAAATAACTCAACATTCAACCAAGTGCACTATTTAGCCTCTTTTGAGCATGGGTGCCAGCAGATAATACTAGACCAATTCTAAAAAATATGTACATAAAATACCTAGTTTGACGGAAAGACCACGGGTTCACGTGCCCCATCTAAATGCCTATAAATTCGCCTCTGTCGATCGAGACCAAGATCGGCCAAGATCGAGGCCAAGCAGGATAGAGATCGACCAAGATCGAGGGAAGCTTTCCGAGCCGAATAACGGAAAGCCGAAATATCCGCGATGGGACAAGGATCACGGTGAAAATCTCGGCACGTATCAAGAAGAGGCCGATTAATTAGCTAATCATGGGATTTCTTACTCTATTTAGAATTGTAACAGTGGTAGGACTCCCCTACTATATAAAGGGGATCTGATCATTTGTAAAAGACATCATATCAATATACTATCTTTCTCTTAAGCTCTCAATACTCTGTTAAATTTGTTCATCTTTTTCAGTAAAATATTCGTTTGGTTCGAGGGCGACCTAGCTCGATGATCAAAGCTATACATTTCCTTTGGTTTTCTTTTATTTCTATTTACGATCAATTTCAATATCAATTTACGTATTTTCTCAGTTTGTGCCAAGTAAAACCATGTGATTCAATTGTTATCCGTTTTTAGGGTAACCAATAATCTTCTTTGAGTATCACAAATTTGACTTAATTAGGATAACTGTTCACATTTGGTGGGAGTAAATTTTTACCTCTCTACTCTAGCACTACCATTTACCCCCCCCCCCCCCCCCTCTCTATATCATAGTATAGAGTCCGGAATCAAAGTGTAGTCTTTTGGACTCAAACGACAAAAATAGCTTAAAAAATAACTGAGTACCATTTTATATATAACGCAGTTTTTCCCCGTGCTATACCTTAACGGCACGTTTATCCGTTAAGGTATAGCATATGGATTACATGCGCTATATTTAAACTTTCCTGCCCACTAATAATTCATCTAAACTTTACTAACCCACCAATAATTGAGGGCCCCCCCCCNNGCGACGCGCGAACTGGGTTTTTTCTTATTTAAGGAGTTTCAGAATTTGGTAAAAATTCATTTAGGATCCTTCAGGTCTTCCGAAATATTTGTTCGTTAACTTATTTTGCATATTGTTATAATGTCCGAAGAGCGAAAAATTAGGGTTTCATTATATTGGGGGGTGAGGTTGTGGTGGAGAATAACTAAGTATGCTATAGTTGTTCTCCACATTATCATGTTAAGTTTCCACTTACAATGGAGTATGATAGATTGGTATCGTTGTTATGTAAAGAAAAAATGAGTGTGAGGGAACGTACGGTTAATATTAAAGTAACCGGAAGATATATGTATTCTGTTATTCCGCCCGCAAAGGGTTGCTTGTTATACGGAGTTTAACATCGAGGACGTTAAAACTCTAACAGTTTTTGAGGACTCCGAATGAACACCGGGAACTTCTTGTGATAAAATATTGAAAATGCACGTCAAGGCTAAATATCAGGATCATCGTCATCACGTCGCCTCTTTATCGGAGAATGCGCTGCATCATGATCATCAATAAGGTTGGCAGTCTCGGTAGAAGCAGCCGTTGGGCCAACAGTGACCTGCTGAACAATAAGATATTTTAGTATATGAAATAAAATACTAAAGTTCGTGTTAGCCAAAAAATTTGATGGTCATACCATGGTCTCAGCGGGCTTCTGAATAAGATCATCCATCTCCGGTAAGTTAGTACTGCATAATGTAGCCTCCGTGACGAGCGATGACGAAATCTTTAAAAAAAAATATAAACACTTTAGATATTACTGACTAATCTTTAAGATAAAAACACATTGAAATAATAGTAATACAAACAAATCTGCGCCTGAGTAGCGACACAATGCTCTGTTGGAACATCGAGGTGCACTGGAGTAGATGAAGTATGTGAAAGATCCTCAGCAGGCCTCGATAATGAGTCAAACTCTGTCGTCACCCACTTCGCCTCTCGTATTGGACGATCAGCAGCAACCGTCGATCGCTTGCCCGCGATCAACAATGGAGCTGACGGGATCACCTGCGAAGTCCCTGGTAACATCTGAAGACTGAGTGACGGCATATCATGAGGAGCATCGTGTAGCTCAGGGTGTTCACCCGGCTGATCATCTCTAATATCCTCCACGGGTGCCTCAATGCCCCCTTGCTGGGGAACCCCGTCCTCGCCGACCATCACGACCACGTGGGCCACCTCTTCCTCTCTGGCCACGCCTGCCACGTCTACCACGCTCAGGCTCCACTAGTGGAAGCAGCCTCATATCCTAAGCGCACATCCTCTCGGGCACGTCTCAATGTGTCAGCAGCAAGATCAGTAACCGGATGGCCAAACACGTGCAAAGCTGTCGCTCCCTCGCCTGTATGTTGTAGCATCTCCAGTCCCAACTGGTAGAACTAGTTTAAGCCAATAGCCTGCATAACATATAAAATATTAATTACGGAAAAACAATGTAACGTTATAAGTAACTATACATGATATAGTTAATAAATATTCATATAAAAATACTTAGTTAGACAAATTTTCTATATTGTTGTTTTTTATGTTATTTTCTTACATTTGTTGACTAAAATTCGAGAGGGTTTGTTTTTGAATTATCATCCTTTTTCAGATATTTTTGGGGTTAACAGAGAATTAAAATTTCAATAACTAAAAAGAAAATTTAGTAATTATTCACATAACAAATACTTAGGTTGACAAATTTTCTATATTGTTAGTTTCCAATATTTTTCTACCAAAATTCTGCATGGTTTTGTTTGAACTATCATCTTTTTAAAGTTATTTTTGAATTATAACAGAATTATATATTAAAATTTCATATGTAATTAAGATTTATTCAATAATTAATCATATAAAAATACTATAAACTTAATAGTAAATAATATTGAAATTATTTTATTCGTAATGATTTATTTGTTAACTGTCATATTTTGCCCAAATTTCCTGACAACTGATTACATTATGATTCCTATCTGATATTTGATAATTATCTACTGATAAATTAAATCCATAATTGAGTACTCTATC